AAAAAAAAAAAACATGAAATAATGAGTACTTTCAACAATACCTTAAAAATAGTTGGTTTTGTTTCTTTCCCATTATGCTATTTTCGTGCACGAATTTGCATACTTTTAATGATACCTGCAACTCCATTTGGAGGTGCTGGGAATTTGGTTACAGGAAGGTTTGTAGTTGTACCTTTTGAATCGGGTTAACCTACATGATCGACCTCCAAACGTTCGAATTTGGTCAACCCACATGGTCAACCCCCTATATTTACCATTTTCAGCACCACCTATTTCTCTTCGCGCACCCAGAGATTGGCGGGTTGTTCTCCAGTGAGGAAATAAAGTTGGAAAGAACGAAGGTGAGGAAGAAGATGAAGTTTGTTAGACGCATGATTCTTCCAAATCCAAGACAATATCATCAAGAAAAGATCATCTCCAATACCAAAAATATAAGCTAGAAAAGCACTGCATTTAGTAGCTTTAGAGTACGTAAATCAGATCCTAACTGAACATAAATTTGGCTTCCTATGAGCAAAATATGCAAAGCATTAAAACAGACCATCAGCATTCTTGAGTACAAAAATACAGTCCAATTTGAACAATTTCAACGTGGGAAATACTTTTGCAGAAATGTCGATGCACACTCAAAGTTCATCCTGCAACAGAGAGTGAAAAGAAGATTATCTAGCAAGGTTTCAAATTTCAAATGGTAGGGTCTGAACTGACAGGAAAAGAAACATAAAAGCTAAAAGATACTGTTTTCTTTAAAAAACTTGAGTGATTTCTAAAATTTCCGAGCAACCTAACAAACCAAAGTATCTACCCATTTTCCGAGTGATGGAAGATGCATTCTATAGATTAAAGACGACTGACACGATGCCATAACTAGATTATTATGTCACCCTGTAAGATTACTCTCGACATTGACAACTTCAATATCCTCTTTTTTGAAACAAAAGTACAAAAAATTTTAGCCCATGCAATCTGGAATTCCAGATACCCGTCAAGAGTAATCTTACAAAAGATTATTGAGTGTCAGCATTTAAGTTCGGTCAAATTAAACAACAGTTTTTGAAACATATACACATAACCGATGAGTTAATAGAAGCTTACATGATAATCATCGTCCAAGTAATCACGGCGATGCTGCAAAATAGATATTCAGAGATCAGATGTTATATTTCTATGTGCACAAGGGAAAAATGTTTACTCGCAAAAGTCAGGGCATACAATTTCAAGTTATGTAATATACATATGTAAAGAAACAACAAAACATCTAAAATGCACCACAACTGTGTCCACCCTCTAAAAGTTTAAGCTATTAGATTAACTAAGTCATGCCAACACCCATTTATGAAAATTGTAACCGTGTCGACTTTGATGAAAAATAGAATTCAGCCTACATGTGAGACGGCCTTTCGAAGACTAAGTGCATGTTTCTCAAAAATTATAATTGATTATAAAAAAAGAGTTTGACCAAATTATAAGCAAGTATAATTTTTGAAACTACGGACTAAATTTAAATAACTATGTTCATTTAAAACTTTCAGATGACACCGTTCAAGAGAGCAAGACACTAACCTTCCTGTATCTGTCTCTGTAGTGGTCTCTGTGTCGATGCCGTCGATCATTATCCCTTTCTCTTCTCCTCCTTTCACCTTCCTCTCTTGCTCTTTGGGATTCCTGCATACAAAGTCAACACTTTTTTAAGGGTCTTTATTTATTACTGTAACTGATAAGTAATCAACGGAACTGGTAAGGCTGAAACCTCTTCCTCTTTTGCTTTTCTCACTTTCTCTGCTTCCTCAAATGCCTCTTTTTCAGCCTAAAACATCAGAAAGAAATAGAAATGTTAGAGGAAAAAAACAGAGATGTTCCAGCGACCTTGACGTGCTCATAACAAAGTTAAGGAGCAGGGGCTGACCTCCCTATTAGCGAAAACTTCATTCACTATTTGCTTGGCATAGTCAGGATCATCACAAATCAGTATGTTGTCATAAACAGAACCTGCTTTTACCTGCAGAGCATGATAAAATTGAAATCCAGTCACAATATAAAACGGAATGTTATTCCTGTGAAATAAATGAGACACTATACTAAGCATAAAAACATCCTAGTCTCACCTGCCAAATTTCAATGCCTACATACTTAATTGGCTTCAGAACATAAAGATCAGGATCATCTTCAAATTCTAATGAAAGGAAAAGGCAAAAATAAAGTAAAATAAAAAGGACAGAAAATATTTAAAAAAATTTGAACAAAATTCAGAGGAAATTTTTTATTGAAACTGCAAAATTCATAGGTGAGTTTGTACAACAGTGCTTTACCTGGATTATCGATCCAAGGTATCTTCCACTTTCCTTTATAGTTAGGATTCTTGATTTTCTGTTACATTAATAAAAACAAAAAATCAAAAGAAAATTTCATAGCTGAGATGTGAATAATGAAATAAGCTTACTCTCTTAAGTTCAATAGCATTTAAAACCCTTTGCTATACCTTACGCTTCCACGGTCCCTTATATGCTGGATTAGGTACTTTTGGTGGTTTCCATATTCCATCCTCTTCTTCATCCCAATCATAGGGCTAATCAGCAGGGAAAAACAAATAATTGAGTAAA